ATATATTTTTTTATTTAATTTTAATATAATTTTGTAGAATATTACCGAACAGAAGGGAAAAAAGTAAGCTATATTTGGACGCGATAGGTGGGGCTATTGTCGTAAATATACTATTTTTTTTATTACAATTGATTATTAACAATTGTTAGACTTATGGGTTGCTTAATGTAGGTGGTTATGTATATGTGTATCTGAGTGAAGCAAAAAGCCATTGATGTGAACAATTGTTTGGAAAAATAATTAATTTGTATGATTTTAATTAGTATGTTAATTAAACGCATTTTAAATATATAACAGAAAAATATAAAAAATTGTTGAAATTAAACCAATAAAGAAAAATAAATTTAATTTAATTGAAAATAATAAAATATTTTACAAAATTAAATTTATATTGCTATTTACAATAATGAATAATTGATTATTTTAAAATTAATTACTTTATAAAAACTTAATTATTTTACGGTTTGAACAAAAAGTATTGAGCGAAGATGATTTTAATTGTTTTACACTCTAAGTAGGTTGCCTCGCTTGCCTTGACAAATGTGTTTAAATTGCATTCCTCTTGATGAGTTCTCGCTGACACTTGGAATTACATTTAATTTTTTCTAAAACACTTCTAACAGCTGCTGTTATTATTTTAATGCACTGCACTATCATCAAACTTCATCAAAGTAATTACGGACATGCTTTATTAATAATTTTATTAAATTCAGTAAATGTTTAAGTCATTTATAAATAATAATGAAGAGTATCTTAAAGCAAAAATTTAAATAGAAACTCGTTTTTGACCAGCTTTGAAATTAAATAAAAAAACACGCCCCAAAAACGTTCAAAAAAGCAATTCTTTATAGTAATTTGTTTAGTATTATAAATTTTTACAAACATCTTTATATATACCTATGAAAAATAAATAGTTAAAATATTTATATATTATAATTTATTTTTTTCGGCAATTCAAAATTTATTCAATTTTTTTTAAGCAACAAACAGACACCCACAGTTTTCGTATTAGTCGCTTGATTTATAGGAAATTATTTTGTTTCGTCAAATTGACGTCCACTAAGTAAATATTTTGAACGATTTAAATAAGTTCAACGAACTTCAAAGTTTTTGTTATTATTAATATTATTTAGTCTTTGTACAACTTTAAATTGTTTTTATTATTTAAGTATTTTTAGTTGCAATATATATATATACTATTGTGAGAGATATGGAACAGAAAAATAAAAGTGGTATGAAATTCTCTTCTATTTTAATATAAACCGGTGTTTTATTGGACGCGATTTATTTTTATTAGTGATTTAATTCTGAATCTATTATTTGTTTTAGTTTCTTTAAATTTTTGGACTTAATAAAAATTAAAATTCTTTTTCTAATATTAATTTTTTTTTTTAAATTTTATATTGGAGTGTAAATAGTACTAATATAAGATTTTAGGTTTCTAAAAACAAGACCATATTAAAACTCATGTACAATACATAATACGAATAAATAAAAGTAAATAAATTAAAAATAATATCCTTAAATTTTCCAATATTTTTGACTTAAAAGATATTATGAAACTTTGGCTTTCGTTTTACACACCCACTTTGATGGCTGTTGGGTTGACTATTCTTTAAAAAAAAAACTTAAACAACTATGAAAAAAACTCTTAAATACGAGTTTCCAAATCCTTCAGATTAAATTTTTGAACTCTACAATTTAATATTTTTGATAAATTATACTAAACATCAATATGATGGTAGTGACTCAAGTACGGTTTTCGGTCAGTCGCAAAGTACGAGTTTCGCAGTTTCAAAAAATAATGTCCAAGACCACTGACAGTGCGTGTTTAAAAAAACTGTTATCAAACGTTCTTAACAACATATTTGGAAATCAGATAATATTTCGTACACAAAACATTTTCATGTACATTTATATATAGTGACATTAAATAATGGTGCAACCAAATTTTTATTAAAATCTGCAATTATTACTATATCATATTTTCATCCATAATTTTACAATTCGATAGTCCCGTTTTGATCATTAGGAGTTACAAAGTACGTGTTTAGAAACTTTATTGTATTAAATTTATAATCAACAATCTGTAATAAATGTACACAATATATGGAAATAAACTTTTTAATTAAATGAGAATTATAATTTTGATATGAAAGCAAATTCTACAGGGCAAATTTTTTCAAATATTCTATAAATTATATATATAATTATCACCTATATATTATAAGGTGAAATCTATAAAAACGAACTGAAAATTTTTATATTTAGATTTTTCAGCAAGAAAAAAAGCAATAAAAAGCATCTACGATTTCGTTATAACAACAAATACAAATATTAGATCTTATATTAAATTGAATACAATATTTTTACTTCGTTCTCTCTTTTATAGTTCTTTTGAGAAAGTTTTATTTTTAGTAATTCTATCAAGCACTTTTAACAAGTTTTATTCTTGTTAAAAGTTGAAATCAGTTAAGTTGAAAAACTGAAATACTTGAAAAGATAGAATTGCCTATAATTACTTGGCTGTAGCTATCACGCTCATTTTCAAAAAAATACGATCATATGAAATCTCCAGACTATATACTAATTAGTGTCGTTAAATGATTTTTCATGAATGTAATGATCTTTTAAATCAATGACGAAATTATGGCTAGTAAAGAGAAATCGTTAATCAAATACTGTTGTTGGAACACCTAATATGTGTGTGTTCTATAAATTATATGGTCCATAACTTAAAATCTCAAACTTTTAGCTAAATATATGATACCTTGGATGCCAAATCAAATGCACATAAATTACAGAAACAGCGATGTTGAATCCGTAACATAAGACATATAATCCTGTACAATATTCAATGAAAATTCTATTGAACTGACATTCTTATAAATGGACTTATTTTTAAGTATGTAATATCGCCAGATGGCATGGTTTATTTTTCTAATATTTTGTTACTTTCGGTATCCGCTAGAGGTAGTTTTTGCAGTATTCAATTGAATAATTTGAAGTTGATATAGTATTATTATTATATATTATTATATGGTTATGGTTCTATAATAAGTAATATTACTTTTATTTAATATTTAATTTTATAAGTAAAATATTTTTTTTTTATTATAATTGACTTTAGAAGTTATATTTAATTAATTCAGAATTTACTGATGAAACATATACACCAAAATTCAAAATAGAGGTAAGACTGATAAGACACTAAATTTTGTTTAATTAGATTTTAATTTATATATAATTTATGTACAAATGATATGTTAGATAACATATGTTGTAATAATTTAATTAATATATAATGATTTACTCTTAATAATATAAATATACTAAGGACTCCGCTATCTGCAAGTTGCGCTCTTCAAACCTTACTATATTCATTTATATTCTTTTATATCGCTCAATATATACGTGGATTTAATATTCTTAAGAGGCATCTAATTTTGTTTTAGTTTTGAAGTTTTTAATAAAATTTAATGGTTCCCCTAGAGTATGTTAGAAGTGCATACATATTACTAAATATGAAAGAGTACGTATGTATTTAACATGTGGCCTTTTTCATGCAATAATCATAATTCAATTCAATAATCATAATTTGTTGGGTCCATGGTCAACCCATCAGCAATAGTCTTTACAGAGTAAGTAAATATTATAAATAAATTATAATTTTGAACACAGCTTGAAAAATATTTACAATGCAATTTAATAATTAAAAATCAAGAACATTTGAGTTAAAATATATATGTGTATTGAAAAGTACTTTAAAATTAATAATTTCTAAGTACTTTAGCTTTTAACAAAAAGTTGGTCAATTTTCATAAATTAAAATATTTTATGGTCAATTGTAGATAAATAATGTACGATAAGTATATTAATGCTTTCTAATGCCATAAATTTTAACTTCTTTTTATTTTATTTTATATTATTTTATTCTATATTATTAGGTTGGGTGTGTTGTAACATAGAGTCAGTTAACATAACTCCTCTATTTTATTAATCACCATTTGCCATTTACATTTGATAAAAAAAAAAATTGCAAAAAATATTAAGTATTGTTAGGAAGCTAAAAATTTGCACATCTTTTGGTTTTATTATTATTTTTGATATATATTTCAATTTACTTCACTCTTATCAAAGCTTCTTAATAGATTGGGTTTCTCCGCTTTTAAAAATGTGTTAACCAGACAACTGACACAGAACTAATAAAGCAAATGCTTCAGGAAACAAACTGCAGAGGCAGCTACTTGGACTGAAACGTTAAAATTACGATAAAAGGAAGAAGTATAAATAATTTATTTAGTGAATTGATTTTGCATTGAGATTCATCAACTTCAATTCTATTTTTGATATTTTTAATCATTTTTTTCTTTTGCAAAGTATCTTCCGTTTTAGCATGAAGAAGCGAAGAATCTGGCTTTGAGATAAGCGTTTGCCCATATATTGCGCGCTGCCCAGAAATACTTGTTATGCCAATAAACTGAATCATTGATTATTGATAAAAATTATTGAAAAAAATTTACACATCGATAAAATAAAAATAAATAAAAAAATATAATTAAAAAGCTAAAGTTTTTAATTTAAATCGCGCACGCGCAAAACCCGACAAGCGTTAATTTACATATTTATGCTGTTCTATTGTTAGCGAAGTCAACATAATTGCCGAACGCCGAATTATTCCAAATGTGGGTTATTAAAACATCGATTTAAGCAATATTGATTGAGGCTGGTTTGTGTGGATCTGCCTGAAGAATACCGTTGAACATATGCTGATCTCGCTCTATTGACTAATAAGGCAATGTGATTCGATAAAAAACGCTGCCCTCTTCTTATCTTATCTGTTTTTGGGTAATTAATGGTAAGTTGTTGTTGTGCAGCAGTCGTTGTGGTTCTGATCGGCTAATTATTTTTTGCCTATAAATGTGTCCACATTTTATGTGATTAGATTAGTTTTTGCTAAATTTGACTTTGGATAACTTATTGAATACTTTGCGCTTAGCATGAAACCCTTCGTTTGTATTTTGGTGATATTGGCGGCTTTAGTAGCCAGCGGTCAGGCTCACAATGTGCGAAAACGTTCACTTGATGCCTTATTAGGCGGTGGTGGTGGTGGCGGCGGCGGAGGTGCCGGTGGTATTGGTGCTTTATTAGCATCAAAATTAGGTGGACTCGGCGGCGGCGGCGGTGGTGGAGGAGGTGGCGGTCTCGGCGGCCTCGGCGGCTTGGGCAGTCTATTCTCTGGTAAACTTGGCGGTCTTGGTGGCGGTTTCGGTGGTGCTTCAGCTGGTGGTGGCAGTTATGGTGGTGGCAGCTATGGCGGTGGCCACTCTGGTGGTTATGGCGGTGGTCACTCAGGTGGTTATAGCGGTGGCCACTCTGGTGGTTATGGCGGTGGTCACTCTGGTGGTTACGGCGGTGGTTATGGCGGTGGCCACTCAGGTGGTTATTCCGGTGGATATTCTGGTGGTAATGCCGGAGGTGTTGCTGAAAAAGTCATCATTGTTAAAGTTATTTCCGAAGGCGGTCATGGTGGTTATTCCGGCGGTGGCGGTTATGCAGGTGGTCAATCTGGTGGTTACGCTGGTGGTCACTCTGGTGGTTATGCTGGTGGTCACTCCGGTGGCTATTCCGGCGGTCACTCCGGTGGCTATTCCGGTGGTCACTCTGGCGGTGGCGGCTATGGTAGCGGTGCCGGTGCTGGGGGTTATTCTGGTGGTGCCAGCAGCGGATGGAATAAGGGTTGGTAAATTGCACGCCCGAATTTATTACCAAAAAGTTCAAATAAATTAAATTGTTTTTAGACGTAGCAATGTTTTAGGCATAAGTTCATCCAAAGAAAAAAATCCGAAATAAATTAAAACAATAGATTAAATTAAATATAAAAATTGTTATTTTTTGTTGTCTTCAAATTTCTTATAGAACATAATAATTTGCTTCCTATTGGTTGGACAAGTTGAACAAGTTCTTAGACTTTTGCTTCTTAGACTTTTGCATAATTTTGGAAGCTAATTTATTTCAGTCAAAATAATTTGCATTAATTATGAAACGAGCTTAGAAACAAGAAATAAAATTAACATATCAATACAAAATTCTTAAATTTAGAAAGAATTTTGTTAGTAAAAAAAGAATTTCTGAAATATTTTGTAGTTCTGAACTTCGAAAAAATTTTATATTGAACTCGTTTTTTTTTAGAATTGGACGAGGTCAGATTTTATTTTCAAAAATATTTTTTTAATATAGTGTAATACTTAAATTAGAAATAAAAAATTTTTACATGGTATTAAAATTATTATACTTATCAACTTATATTAATAAATTAATGAATTTATTAAACTTAACTTATGATTAACTGCAATTTTGCTTTTTCTTATTTAGTACTTATCAGTTTCATTTTAAAACTCTCTTATTTAAGTTTTTTTTTTTTGTAACTTATTGATTCCAGCTTTATATTGTCTTAAAGTTCATCATCTTGGCAAAAAGCATTGCATTTCCTCCGCATATGCATTTCGTTGATTTCGATGTCGCTTCGCTTGGTATACCTCATCAGCACTGGGCAGTTTATTTGCTTCCATTATTCCACCCATAAAATATTGTTCCCAATTAAAGTCTGTTTCAGTATTTGTCATTCTTTGAAAGCTTAATGAATTTGGTTCAATTTGTGGATTGTTATAGAATGATTTCTCCAGTTCATTATTCAATTTGCTTGCGAATGGATTTATGCCATAGTGCGCCACAACCAATAAGTTACTCAGATCATTAGCTACCAAGGAGTTGTAATCATCATATGCTAGAAAGGACTGAGTCAGTAGTGTGTTGGGTGTGACCTTCTGTGTCAATGTTGTTCGAAATGGCGTTGGCTTCATTTTATCTCCAAGTATATTATATACTGACCAATTTTTATAAGCCACTGCCGGCAAAGCAATAGCTTTCCATAACACAGTTGTAAGTAGTATAATTTTAACACCCAAATTGAGACACATTTTCCTTAAAAATTATTAAGTAAGTTCACTTGAACTGTCCACTCCACATTCAGTGCTTTGATATTTTACAAATATGTTCGCAGAAATGTTAAATTTATAGCAAAATAATTTATTTCAGTTACTTGCATTTAGCAAATCATGTCCAATATTAGCCAAGATCTGAGCATGCACTAATAATTGTAATATTTCTTTTGGTCCATTTTGCTTAAGCCATTCATTTGTTTTTGTTATTGGCACAAATTAAGTGTCATCATTATTGGCATTTCGATATTTCGTCTCTCCCTCCGCAAGCGAATTAAATTGTATCTCAAATAATTTGAAAAACTTTTTTAATTAAATTTAAATTAATTGTTGTTATTTAATCGCATTTGTCAAGTCAAGTTCAATTGCGTTGGAAATATGCATTTGGCCGTTTGTGCTATGTAATTTGGCAGAGCGGCTGACACACAGACAGACATTGAATTATGGCGTAATTATTACTTTAAATTTAAATTTAATTTCTGTTTAATTTATAATAATTGAGACAAGCCATTTGAGCGTAATTTGAAGGTATTTATCTCTTGGATAGCAGCAGCTTGGATAGATTCTGTTCGTGCGATGGCTGCATTTGGAATTCTTCTGGCGGTTTTTTTTTGTGGTTTCCGCTAAATTAGGAATGCGATTCCAGTTCGCAGTTGTGGTGGAACGAATTACTCTGTCAGTGTTAATTCTATTAGTGATAAATGGTTTCATTTAATTTGTATGAGAAAATGTTTAAACTAAAATTGTCGAATAGATTTTGTTTTTGCTGTCTGCGGTATTTATTGACTTAAAGACTTTTTGGACATGATTCTATTAATAGAAAATATTTTGCATTCATTGTGATAGATTTCAACAGGTGTAAGTATAAAGAAACAAAAATATTTATTGGATGTATAAGTTATTACAAAAGTTAAACCATCTTCCTGTTATAAATCCTATATTTTATTTAAATAAATTAAGCCAGAGTGTATTACAACACAAAAATTACAGTAAACCTACGTAATTACACAATTACACTGCACGACACTAAATTCTCTTTGTATACTTTTAAAGTTCATTTACAACTTAATTTAAGCTGAGCTTAAATCTGTACTTGGTTATTGTCTGGTACTTTTGGGTCTCTGGCAATATCAAGTTATAGTTTATAATTTAAGTTTTCAAGAAACCACTGAAATGTGTACTAAACAATCCATTTCAAAAGATATAAAGTTTGAGTCGTCAATAAGCTTGCAATAAATACATAGAAATGAATTTTTACCATAGACACATCCCCTCTTTCCTATATCAGTTCCTTCTTATCAAAAACGGTTATTTTCCTACAAGTTCCTAAAACGGTTATTTTTCCATTGGTTACTTTTTCATTGTTTCAAAAACGGTTATTTTTATTAAATTCACAAAATATCTAATTAAAACACAATTTACAGATTTGTGCTCAGCAGCCCTATATTAACCTTAAACCGTTAAATATTTATAAAAAAGAGTAAGAAGATTTCGTTATTGTTGGAAACTGTTATTAAAATAAAATCAATTCGTATTCCAGATATGATTCCTTCAAATAATTGAAATTTATAAAATATATAATTATATTAATATCATCATTTTATTTTGTAGGTGATGTGATAATTTTTTCTCGTTATTTCTTCGGAACCTCGATTTAGTTTTCAAAACCCACTCTCAGGAATATCACGTTTTTCAGTTTGCTGGTAATAGGTAGAACCCACTCTAAGTATGTTCACAATACCAAACAACTTGATCTTCGTATAATAAGATCAAGTCATAGAAAGTTGTTAGATATAATGAAGATAATTCTACTAAGCTATTGGCTGTTCTTATTTAGGACTATATAAAGTTATATAGGAACTCTAGTATATACGATTAAATGCAAGAAAATTGTTTCGTTAAGCACTACATTACACATCATCTCTATGATCTAACAAAAGGAACAGGTTATTAGAGCTTGTCTTGACGGTTTGTCGGTCACTTCATCGATAAGAGTGGAAGACCACTTCAATTACATAAAGAAGATGGATTATGGTATTTCAACGACAAGTACTCGCTAATTATGTGATGCGATTGTACAATGCAGTTGCACAGTAGAACAAGCTGGTCGCAGTGTATAAAGGCTATAGCCTAACGCATAAATTATTACCATTAACTGGTGATGTGAAAGGATATCTGTAGCAACAGGGAAAGATCAATCACAAAAACAAGTTAGATTTAGTAAGAATTGTGGGGTTTTTTGCAAAAAAGGTCGTAAATAAACATTTAATTATGTGATGCGAAAGGATAGCTGGGGTAATGGGAAAAGATATCTTCAATTGCATAATTAAGTTGGATTCAGTAGAACCTGTAGAGTTTATTTGCGATGAATGTGGTAGTTAAAGGTCAAATAATCGCTAATTATGTGACGTGAAAGGGTATATCTGCCACAATAGGGAAAGGTCTTTTAAATTACATAAGTAAGTTAGATTGAATAGGATCTGTAGGAGTGTTTTGAGAGCAACGAGTTATTTATAGGTCAAATAATTGCTTATTATTTAAAACGAAACGATATCTGCTCCCTGATATACATTATCTAACCAAACAACTGTATGCAACTGTAAAAACATGTTTCCTAAGAAGCAACTTGTTAGATTTAAGTTAAATTTGATTATCTTTGTCTACGTACAACCTTAAGCATTGTACGTGCTGCTTTTTGTATTGTTATTGATATATAAGCAATATAGCACAAACATATATACATAATGAACACCGTCTACGGTAAAATAAACCGAAAGTGTGTTATTCAAGTCCGTGACTATTATTCAACACAAGTGACTACTTAATTAAGTTTTTACCTACTAACTAATTAAATGAAACCTAGCCTACTTTAAAATAATCCACCTTTAATAAAAACCGCAATGCCTTAGTATAATATCTGTTATATTTACATGAAGTACAGAAATGAAAATTTAAGTACTTATTTACTTAAGTCATAATAATGACTTAATTCAAGCTTCTGTGCTAAGCCAGAGGTCATACCTTAAAACTGAACAAATAAAATTCTTTGTGCACTCAAGCCTTGGATTAAAAAAACGATTTGATTTTCATAAAAGGTTGCTTAGACGTATTGAGCATGCGCCACAAGATCAAATACCAAAGCCAAAAGCCAATTGCGTGAGAAAAACGCGATTGCAAGATAAAATCTTCGACAAATTTGAAGCATGAAAAGCAACAAAACCAAAAAAACTACAGATGTTTTAATGAAACTGTTATTTATCAGTAATTTTTTTTAATTTTTTATTGTATCTAGTTGTTGGTTCTTAAGTTTTTATTGATTTTATTGCTATGCTATCAATGCTAAGACTACAGATTTCACACATTCTCGTATGCGCTGGACCATTCCTCAAATTGGTCAACATGCGGCAGAGATACGGCGTTTAATATTCGCTCATAAATTTGCGATTTATTAAACTGCTTTTCAGCTCACGGCATATAAAAATGTAATTAAATTCGCTTGTAAAAAAAAATCTGAGACAATCTGAAGCAATTGAAGCGGTTAGCGTTGTTGTTGGCCATTTAATGTGTGTATCTTATTTGTTGATTTGCAATTAAAGATTTCGGAATTTACGACTCAAGTGCTTCGCTGAAAGTTCAAGTTGAATCAATTGAAGACGATCTTGAGCGAAGCTACTGACGGCAGGTGTTAGCTTTGGTTCATGTCTCAGCTGTGCAGCTGTAGTTTTGTTGTTGTTGTTAGCTGCGAT